AATATCCAACGCAGAAGAGACAGGATGGACAGGATAATAAACAACCTGCTCCTCCCAGCGCTCGCGCTACATCACGGAAATTGTTCACATAGTATTCTTCATGCAGAAAAGCCGGTTCTCATGACAAAAATGTGTTTGCGGAAATAAGAACAGAGCATTAAACCAATGCAAATTTGTCTTGGCACAATGCCCTGTTCTTGGTTCCGGTGGTGTTCGGGTGACAAAGGAACAACGCGCCTGATGAGAGGATCGATCAGAGAATAGTGAAGACAGTTTATTGGCACTTTGATCAAGGGTCATAATGTGCGTTGTATAACAAATACATGATGACTATTTACAGATACAGACAACAACATTGATAGGATGGATACACGACAACTTTTCTTTTTCACCCGGAAGGTGCCACGTTCAGCCAGCACTCATCGAAATGCATTTCGTCGTTACGCTTGTCCGCGATGCCCCTGCGCGGCTAAATAAAAACAACTCGCTTCAATCCGGCGCGCCTCCCGCCACGGCCAGGGCCATGGCCAGGGCCGCCGCCGCTCGTGTGGAAACCGTCGTCCGCACGGCGGGGTTAGCAGCCGGCGCTGCTGGCGCTGCTGGCGTTGGCCCGACCCGGCCGTACGCGTCCCAGGCCGCCGCCACCGCGCCGACAATTCCGATGCACTCGCGGGCGCTTCCAGAGTCCTCACACCACGCGACTCAAGGACCGCGGCGGCATCTCCCCGCGGCTCGGGCGGCAGCGGCAATGGGACTTCTGGCGCGCATCCGAACGACACCGCCGCTCCTAGGATATCCTATTTCCCATGTAAGGGGTCGTCCAGAAAGTGCGGACGTGTTTCTTCATTTTCATTGGGCAGATTACGGGGAGCTGGTGGGCGCCTGCGAGACTCTGGGTAGGCTACCCCGCAGTACATGCATGCGCTGCAGGCAAGATTTTGCCTACGTCACAGGCGCTAGGAGAGCCTGTTGATGCCGAACTTGGCTGGTTGTGGCTGAACGTGGCGAATGACGGACGTACTTTCTGAATGATCGATTTTTTTTTTGCTGAGGCACTGAGTAATTTAGTGGATGAGGTCAGTGATTTTTTTTCTCACCCGCGTGTAGAGTGCATTGACACATGCGCGATCCCGCATTCACCTCTCAACAGCGTACCGTGGTGTCTCTGCGAACTGCCTAACTTTTCCATCCAACTGACAGAGCGAATGGTAGAACCCTGTACCTTCGTTGACGCCCGCGGTCAATTTCGACTGGCGGCGCGGGGTCGCCGACCTGCCCTAGACCTCGCAAGTTCCTGCTTGACTTTTATCTGCTGCTCTTTCGCGTTCGTTGGAGGACTTTGCGCACTGCGTCTAACAATGCGATTGATGGCTGAATGGAGGGGGCAGCCGAGGTGCTGCCTGTCGCTCCGGACAGCCTGACTGGCGCGCTCTCCGGAAAACAAGGTTGATGGTGTGTCCTGGCGGCAGGCGCAGCGCCGGGCTGCCTTGCACTTTCTTCGCTGCACCATAGGCGCCCGCCGGCGGC